CATGCTTTTAAAATATGACAAAATGACATAGAACTTTAGTTTTTAAGGGTATGGCCTTTTCATTTAATTTCAACTTGAAGTAAAAAAAAGTTAGGTTCCTTATATCTACTTTCAAATTGAAATAACTCAGTATTCAGTAGGACTAATAATATTCTTTTAGATTTTGTAAATGTTTTGTGTAAAACAGGTAAATTTGAACCCAAGTCTGCTTTTGAAAATTCCTTTTTTTAAAAGCCTATTCCAATAAATATAATATTGCTCAAATTCGAACAATATTTTCAACTTGAAAAAAACAAAACCAATAAAAACTGGATTGTACAAGAAAAAATACCAAACTGATTTGAAACATTTAGTTTTACTTGTTCTCTTTTCGTTTTGTTAAAATTAAAACTGTGCCACCTTGGTTTTCTGCAACCTTACTTTGCTCTTAGTGGAGATGATACGAAAATAAAACATGCAATATATGATAAGAAATTTTTTATTCTTATTACCTGAACTTGCTTTTTTATTTTCGAAAAGATCAACACTACTAAAGTGCTGAAATGTTTTGTTTTGTTGTTGTTGTTGTTTTTTTTTTTTTTTTTTTTTTTTTTTTTTTTTTTTTTTTTTTTTTTTTTTAGAATTATTATTATTTTTTTTTAGAAAGAGTATAAAGAACAGCGCGCTATATGAGATAAGGTGCAGTTTTAACTCAATACACAAAACATTATATTGCATCTATTCTCTTGTTCTGCTGCTTTCATATTTTAAAACATGGTTTTGTTTGTTTTGTATTTTTTTAATCTGATATCCTAACTCCAAATTTAAAATCTGTACAGTTCTATGATCATGAGATAGCGGAATAAGTTGAGTTTTGTACTTTACCTTTGCGCTGCAACGTTTGCATCCACAACCCCAACATTACGCACCCACGACCGGACTGGATCCATCTCCTCTCCAAGAGTTCTCTCTTTTAATCCGCTCACGTCTCTTATCAGCTGCTCCTGAATCCCGAACATTTAAAGCCTTGTCCTGGGCGATGTTGAACACTTTTTGAAATATTATAATTATATTTGTTTCTGGATGAAAAGATTACTCGGACTTCCTGAAGCACTTCAGCAACAAACAGAATGTCCCCTTCAGAGCGCAGCGCTCCTCCAAAAGCGCAGCACAAGTAGCTTTCAGTGAGCTTTTAAGAAATAAGAATAAATAACTGCTGCTGTTTTATGACTTCAAATACGACTCAGTTTATATCCGAACTGACTTTCTGTCACTCAAGACTTAAAAGATGAATGTAAATTATGTCTCCACAGATTACAAGCATTGTCCGAGCAAACATCTCGAGCAGAAGTGGGAGTATAGCGGATCATCTGCTCCGACAGAGAGGACCAGGAGGGACTATAGTTGTTCTTTAAAAGTAGATCTGCGCACAGAAAGTCTTCTTTTGTCACAAGGCCGGATCGGATCAAAACAGCTGATCCTGAGGCCAGCAGGCTTGGAGTGCGCCGCTGTGGTGGAGCATGAATGAGACCCTCCGCCGGGATGGAGCGTGGAGGAGGGGCCAAGTGCCATATGGGGGACCGATTGTTGAAATGGATGCTCTCATTGGTGTAAAGTCCGTCCGTTGTTTGGGCTGCTGCCAGATTAATCATCCAACCGGGGATTTTTTCAACAAACTTTCACACCACAGGTTTGAGAATTTATTTTAAAAGGTAACATCTTGGTGTTTGTACAACAGAAACTATTGTTTATGGAACAAATAAACAACATTCAGGATGTGAAAAATGGTATTTTTCAAATCAATCATTAATATGAGTTTTTATGGCTTTGCTTAAAAATATAAAACTAAAACACATGAATAAATGCAAGTGTTTAGTCTGAATGCGTTTTTAATGTTCAGGCTCCTTTGTGACATTTTAATTATAATTGCATTTAAATGCAAGGGCAGTAAATGTGGGTACACTAGTAAAAAGTATATGTTGGAATTATGCCAATATAATGTTGTAAGAATTTGATTCGCCCTAAATTTTAATGGATTTTTGTCAAATTTTATTAGTAGAATTTATATATAGCTAAATGAAATAACAACAAATCATAAAAATGTAATTCATTAAATGCCAACTTTTATTAGTCAGTTTGTTCTCCCATGTCAAAAACTAATTGAATAAATAGGATTCATAAACTGTTGTTTGATTAAGGTATAAAGTGTTAACACAAAGTAGAATGTAATACACTTTATAGAAAGGTTTATTATGTGCAGTTTATCAGCAGAGATCTCTGGCTTTATAAGCTCTTCTTTCTCGCAAACAGTGTTACCAACTTTAAGTGTGGCCAGTCCATCTAACAGAATGTTTCATCCATCACAATTGCATTCACTTGTTTTTGCGTTATTAGTTATTTACCCTTTCAAACAATGACCAGTGTACCCCCAAATGTTGTGCACAGTTGAAAAATGAGAATGAAATTTCATCAGTCCTAATAATAGAAACACAAAAGTTATCTTTTACACTGCAAAAAATTAGAGAGTTACTTTTATGTTTGTAGTTGTTGTTGATGATGTTATTTAAAATAATCTGGACTTCATTCAAAATGTTTTCTTCGCAAAAATACAAAATATTCCAACTTTTTTATCCTTAATTGGATCATGTGGAACAAGGATCCTTTCAAAAAAAAACATCTTGAAATGAATGACTGTTTTTTTTTTTCTATAAATAAAAACCAAAAGAAAACAGAAAACTGCTCAAACTCAGACTATATGTGACTTAGAAAACTTTTGCACTGTTTTTGGAAACAAAAAATAGGCTGCAGATGGGCTGCATGTAAAAAGTTGAACTAAATGAGTAATAGAACTATGAGAAAAAATAATGATGAAAAATGTATGCGTCACTTTTGGGTCATTTTTGTCAATTTCAAACCCGAATAAGGGTTTTAAAAATCCACAGAAGAAAGTCAATTTGTTGTTTTATTTCTCTAAGTTATTTTTTTATTCGTTTTTTCAACAACACTTTTTAAATCTACTATAGCGAGGCTTTGTGTTGATTGATGATATCCACAGCTAATTGAAATTTTTATTAGCAACAAGTGACATAAAGTTAATGTACTTGCCCAAACTTTAACTTATTTTGCTATACAAATTAACTATTTTAATTTTTTGCAGCAGCTCAGGAACCACTGGTTCTTAACAGATTGACATTTTCAGTTACACCCTGTTTGAGCTGATTTCTAATGGACCCCACAAACAGAAACTTAGAATAACAGTGAATCTTAAATTTCCATCCTTAAATAATATGCGACTTGAAACAAGAAAATAACCACTCATTGCTTAAACCCATACCAAACATAAAATTAACAAACTAAGGTGCGTGATTAAATTTCTAACCATTTCAGCGGCTAATATTCAACACCTTCCCGTGTTCATTTTTTAAAGTGTAGCATCCTTTATAGCATCAGAAAATCCTGTTTGGTCTTTTCATTCAAGTCAGCGTTTAACACAAGTGCGCTCTCAACAGGGGCGCGTCTTATAGCTGCCCCACCGTCTGCTCCTTTGAACGCTGTGATTTCACTGAGGACGCATGGCATCAGTGTCAGGAGGAACAATGGCCGTCTGGTTGCTCCATCAATCTGCAACAGCAGCCGGTGTTGGTTCCCCTGCCTGACAGAGCCACAAATGAGTTCTTAATCTGCACTTGGGAACATATTCTTAAACATTTTCAACGTGATATATAAATGTGCTTTAAATCTTATGGATTATTAAACTGTTTAGGTACTTTATGAAGTCAAAAACTGAAAGGAAAAAGAAAGGTACAAGTTTTTACTTTTTATGTAGGCTATGATGTATTCCGACTTGGCTGGTTTAATCGTGAACTAAACATTTGAAGCTCCAATAAAAAGGAAATGTTTGCATATCTTGCGCGGATTTGCAGCCAAATTGAATTTCCGCTTCCACTGGCCTGCTTATAAAAAGATTTTTTTTCTTCAATCCTGGTTCCTTGCCCCTTACCGGGACTATTGTCTCTATGCGGAGGTTGTGCGCCCGGACAATGAATGTAAATCTCCCCCCTTGGATCCCGCCTCAGCCCACCATCTGCCAGCGCGGGACAAAGTCAGATGTTCTCCCAATTATAAGCGCAGTCTCGGGGAATCCTGTGGACCAGTCTGCAGCCCCGTCGCATTTTCCCTCAGCACACCTCTCTGCTATAGTATGACTGACAGCCACACTTAACCCCAAAACCGTGAAAAATCTATACAGGTTGATGCATTATAGTAAGAATTCCTGCACTGCATGCAAAAATCAGACATGTAGATTTGAAATGGGTTTCGTGTTTGGTTAAGTGAGTTGCTAGAGAAGAAAAAGATCAAAAACATATATTTTTTCAGTCAGTGTTGCAGAATATTAACTTTCAAGCAACGCCAATATTGATTGGTGTTGATTTAAGCTCATGATGTAGCAACAGAGATATATACAGATCACATCCGGAACTTATTTCTCATTAATTTGTGAATGTCTTTAAAAGAAAGTATTATTTATCTTATGTATGTGTGTGTTGTTAGACATACTGTTGGTACTGTTTTGAAAAGTGTGATTACTTCCTTTTATAGATGGAAAATAAGTGAGACATAACAGATTGAAGGATGCATTACCTGGATCAATAGTCCTTTTATATTTGCTGAAACGTTTTGGGTCACTTTTCTATAGATAGCAGAATTTCTGAGAAATGCTTCTTTGAACATATCAAAGGCTTTTGCAGGGAATGCTCTTTTTACGATTCCCTGTAAGATAAAGACACCCAATGTTCTTCCAAGGCTTGCATTGCTTCAAAATCTTCTTTACAAACAAATAAAGGCCTCCAGCTTGTGATCTGCCAAAATATCCTTCTTTTTTGTGCTTCTTTAGAACTAATTTTAAATTGTTTTTAAAGTTTACCAAAGTATTGCTTCTAAGCGGAGGATGCAGTTGAGTTTTGTCATATGTTGAAAATGCATCTTTTGCCAAACAAACAGCTAAATCAATAGGAAACAGAGAGACTGATGGAGTCATAGCTTCATTGGTCCTTGTCTTCCATTCTTAATGAACTAAAAAAAGAAAATGAAGCATAGAATTTGGGCTTTAAGGTTGATCTTACAAGGCCATGAGGTTGCAAAGTAAAGATATTAATATAAATGATGGAAAGGTTTACAAAATCAGCAGTAAGTGATTTGCCAATAAACTTATTTAGAGAAGACAAATAAAGATTATTTTACATTCTTGTTTAATTGTGAAGAAGGCCCCTGAAACCATGATGATGCGTAAAAACCAAATAATCTGTTGCAATCTGTGTTCTGAAAGAAACATGTCATGGTAGGGCATCAAAACTCATTCTAGCCCAGGGGCCAAAACCCTCCTAAATCCAATCCTGAGGGGACATCAGGGTTGAGCATAATTCACCTTCTTGGTCCATCAAGTCCAACAGAACCTGCTGACCAAATATGGGTTTTATTTCTTAATTACCTAAAGCGAAGAATGGAGGATTAGGCAAAGCCACAAACGTCTTTTTAATAAATTTTCCCCGCTGAGATGGTCAGTCGCTGTTCTTTGAAGGCTCTGTGGGTGTGGAGGGCTTTAAATGGGGTGTGGAGGGGGATCAGTGACTGCTACGCTAAACAATGGGGTATCGTGTGCCGCTCGTCTTCTCCAGCATTCCCCTGCTCCCACGGGACACGCAGAGTCACTTTGTGTGGATAGCGCTGTGACCACGGAGGTCAGAGAGGGGGGCGTGGCACGGGCATGGATGCGCGCGCGCGCGACAATGCGTGCGCTGCGGAGTGTGTGGAAACGCAGCAGCTGGTTTCCGTCTCTCCTCTGCGTTCTGCAGAAAACAACAACAGCACTAATGCGACCCATATCGTCACCCATCGATCACATTATATCACATCTTTTTTTTCTTTTTTTTCGGCTATATATTCCAACAAGATAATCGGAGAAAGCAAATAAAGATAATTTATTTTTAAAGAAATATGGTGTCCTTTATCTTGATGTAAGAGAGACTTCCACAGACATGGAATAGGATATTTCTGTTGTTTTATTTACTTTGATTATTTGCATAAATGGTTGAAGCTTTTCCATCTGCTCATTTCAAACACTGAAGCTGATCAAAGAAACACAGGTGATGAATTTATCACTTTTTTTCTGTAAGCCCATGTAAGTAGTTGTTGTTTGTTTTGCTTTAGTTTGTTGAGAGATGGATTTCATTAATGTTTTTATTCTGTAAAGGTCTTATGCTGTGCAGGCTGTCCTGAATGAGTGATTCAATAATCAAAAATAAATACAAAAGCCTGCTTGGTAAAAATACCAAAAGTCAGATCTGATGCTGAACATGTCAAAAATGCTCCAATGCATACAGATAACAATGTACAAACTTTGGTCAATTTAGCTCAAACAAAGATTAATCAGTCTGTGCACTAAAATAAGTAAGTTGTTTTTATTCATTGAATTAAAACACAAAATTACAAATATTCATCCTCCTCATCGACTAATTTAATACAGTTTTATAGCAAAAATAAAGATTCTGATTTATTGTAGTGTGTTTAAGGAAAAAAGTACAATGAACACTTATGTAAAGAGTTCTTTTTAGTTATTGCTTATGCACTGTTTGTTAAATAAGTTGCAAAGATATAATTTAAATCCAACTTAAATCTAAATAAATGTATTTATCAAAATGTTATCTTTAAATAAATGATGGTAAACAAATGGTCAAATTAAGATAGTATTTTATCCCTTTCCCTTTACATCCGCTAACTTAATTTAATCCCAAAGGATAAATCTGGTTCAAAGTCCTTTATATATGAAAATTATCAGAAAGTTGAATTTGGTGTTTAAAAAATAAACATTAAACAGATTTTAAAAAATATATTCCTTTATAAGGTATATATTTCATAAAAATAGGAGCTTCCAATATGTCATAGATGAGGTTTTAATCAATGGTAGTGATCTAGAATAGGCCTTGTTTATCTTATAGACTTGTACTTTGGCTCCATCTACTGTTCAGATTGCGAAGTTGGTCTCCTTAGATTACAAGCAACATAAAAAATATATATGTTCTTTGTCATGCATGCTCTGTGAGATAGATGTGTTAAGCTAACGTATAGCTCACTTCAAATATTTGTTAAATATAGGTTGTATATGAGTAAAAGAAATACAAAAGTTGTTGAATTTGAGACCTTTAATGTGAATTTTCAATCTAGCAACTGTAAAAAATCTATATTTCAAGGGATAACTGCTAATCAACAACTAATACACAAGAGGTCACATATTCTTAACAAATACATTTATTTTACATGTTTCTTTTACAACGTCAGTTTATTTCTTTATCCACAACAGAAAGTAGGCAGATCATGGACAGTACATCATAATCTTTTAAAGAAAGGTTCAATAATTGACTCAATCTTTACTCCTTCATTTGCAGTCCTTTAAAATTTGTATTCATATTCAAACTTGACAATCCTTAACACCATCTTACTCAGTGAACAGCAGATGACCAGAGAAGAAGCTGTCTCCGGTCAGTCCGTTGCCTCCATGGTTGGCCACCAGCCACACCCTGTCTCCCCTCTC